GGTCATGGATCATCTTCCCTGAGGGCGTGATTATATCTTAGCCCTTTCCTCTCTTCCCCGACTCCCCAGGCGCTTCTTACATCAGGCCTGAGGCTGGCCTCATGGTTAGAACAATGTTCTGATGGCCCGCCTCGGCTTGGTTAGTGAGAGTGCCTCTTTCAGGTATGTAAAGGTGGTAGACCCCATGTCCATGAAGAACTGTCTGGTGAGTCTTCACTTCGCACGCCGCAGGTGAGCTGCTGGTCTTTCAAAGAGTATTTTTTGTGATTAAAAAATAATATGTTTCTCTTTACAGACCTCGTTCCCTGTATAGAGTTATGGGGCCATGTCAAGGTAATAAGGTAAGAGAACTTTTTTGGATTATCAGGGCCCTGAAGTTCCCCGTTAGGTGGCCAGAACGATAACTGTGTTAGCCTTCGGGCTATTAGCCACCTCAGGGTAGAGTAGTTGGTCTCTCTCTGATATAATGTTTTACTTAGAGTGTTGACTGACGCTAGAGCTTCAGATAGATCTTATGTCCGGCCCATGGGACCGTTTTGACTTTTCTGAGTATTTCGCCCCTTGAGCTCTGTTGAGTTTTCATTAGGTTGAGCGTTCTGCAGCCCTTTGTATGGAATAATACAGACTATATTCTTTAGTAGGCTGTGGCTCCTCTGAGCCCTCAGATAGATCTATGCTTACAGGCTGGCCCTCACCAGGGCCGCCTCTGTAGCTGGCCTAGGCTGTGCCAGGGATATTAGAGGCGTTCTGCTAAAATTAGCATTTCTTCCTCTGACCCTTCACTTTGTGAATGTAGGTTTTGGCATCCCTGTATAATCAGCCTCCTCCCATGGGAGTCGTTAGGCCAAGGCCCGCCCCCTTCTCTGCATTCTGGGGTGACTAGAGTAATGCAGCGTGGTGCAGAGGATGGTTTATAAGGACATGGTAGGCCTCAGTTAGGCCTCCGTGGTATATAAGTCCTTTTGAGCAGGGTTAGGCCGTATTTCGCTTCACGAAGAAGACTGAGTCTCCTGCCCGACCCTGCCGTGCAGAACTGGCCTACGGATTTAGGCCGCCAGTGTAGGCTTCACTAATACATTGCTGAGCTACTGCTCAGGCTGTGGGTTGTAGGTGGTTGGCTTTCATTCAAGCCCCACTCCCCTAGGTTGGGCACAGATGTTTTTCTGTTACCCCTAGAGCCGCATGGCAGGCCCGCACCCTGGTAAACTCAGGGTGAGGTGTGAGTATTCCCCTGTGATTCAGGGTAGGTCTTAGCACTTCACTCCCAGTTCTGTTTTTATCCTACCTCGCACTACTATGGCTCGGGTTGAGTATGAAGTAAGCCTTCACTTCTTCTTTGGTCAAAGTTCGCTCCCCTGAAGCCAGAGCATTGCCCTGTGCTGACGCCCATGCATAGATGGTAGGCCCCTGACTAACTGGGGCCACCACTGAGGCAGAGTGGCGTATGTTGTACTCCCCTTGTTCTAAGGGTATTAGCTCTCTATGCTGAGTACATTGCCATGGGCAATGTGATTAGGCACCAGGATGCTGTAGGCGCTGTGTAAACAGCTTATCTGCCAACGAAGGCTGCGCCATCAGGTAGTAGGCCTCAGCAGGCCTCGTTGTATGAGCAGCCCCCAAGAGGGCGCTATAGGCTACTTCTCGAGAGAGTTGGTTGGCCTTGGTGGTTCGGGCAGTTGACTCACCGGTGGGTAGTAGGCCTTAAACAGGCCTCCTCGGAGGTGAGTCCCAACATTGTGGGACATGCTTTAATGCCGCTACAGGTAGCTAGCCGTACTAGGCCTCCTGTGGGTGGGCCCAATAGTTACATTGGTGTAGTATGGTTCCCAACAGTGTTCCTTTGTTGCAGATTTGACTTGCTATCAGCTAGTAGGCCCAACCAGGCCTCCCTGATAGGCGAGTCCCCAGCTGGCTGGCCTTAGCAGGCCGCCTTGGAACTGTCACCCGGACTCAGCTACCAGTTGCTATCAGGTAGTAGGCCCCTCAGGCCTCCCTGAAGGTGAATTCCCACTTAAGATGGTTATCAGGTAGTAGGCCTCACCCGGCCTCCCTGAAGGCGAATCCCCACCTACATTGGCTATCAGGTAGTAGGCCTCAACAGGCCTCCCTGGAGACAAGCCCAAGGACAGACAACTGGACAGCTAGCCTGACTTTCTATCGGGTAGCAGAAAAAGCTCCCAGATATTATGGCTGTCAGGTAGTAGGCCTCACCAGGCCTCCCTGAGGGTGAGTTCCCCACGTACTATCGTTATTGGGTAGTAGGCCTCTCTAGGCCTCCCTGTAGGTGACCACATACTGTTGCTATCAGGTAGTAGGCCTCACCAGGCCTCCTTGTGAGTGGTTCCCTAGCGGTGCTGGGTTCAGGAAGCTAGTGGCCTCTTGCTATCATTTCAGCTGGCCTTATCAGGCAGCTGCTGAAGGCGAGCTTGCGCCCTGGCTCGACTGAAGTGTTCATTCTCTGCTGCTGGTTCCCTCTCGGAACCTCTTTCCTGCCTACAGCCTGGTTTTGCCTACCAGGGGGACCATATGCTCCCCTCATTGAGGGTCACTGTGAGCACGCGGACTCCTGAGTCTGGTCAGACGGTCGTAGGCCTCTCGTGAGGCCTCCCAGTTAGATCAGTCCTTAGGCCTTCACAGGCCTCCTCAGTGTTTTGAAACACAGACACTGGGTTGATCCGTGGATCGAGTAGAGAAACTCCCCTCGCTAGCAAGGGTTAGAAAGCACTATGCTGAGTCATACTCTCCGGGATATCCCGTCTCTGAGATCCGGGCCGAGTGGTTCACTGCCAGCTTCGCAGTCCCTCGGGTTGGATGCCTTACTTAGGGCAAGTGTCCAGAGGCTCTGTCTTCGGACAGACAGGAAGTGGCCAGACTAAGTGTCTATGCTCTGACGCCAGGTCAGGCCGTCCTGGTGGCACTTCGGGGTGAGTACGTTCCCCTGAATAGTGACTGGCTGGGGTTCCTTCGGGTTCCCTAGCCACATTCCCTAGAAGGGACCCCTTCTAATTGAAGTTGTGGTCCTAGGCCTTTGAGCAGGCCCAGGTAGGCTTTCATTTAACTATGTTTATGGAGGTTTCCTGTGAGGCTTATAGCTTAGGCTATGACCGTAGGGAATGCTGTCACTGACAGCCTAGTGTGACCTGACGATTGAGTGGTTCTAGCATTTCATTTGAATTTGCTGGTTCGGACAGTTGTCACTGCCTGAGGGCATGCACTCCCCTCAGCATGGCGGAGTGGGTATTTCGTTCCCCATAACGTCGATGACGTATTGTTGAGTTCCCTTCGAAAGGGAACGTCTCAGGTTACGACTGTAACCTTTGTTCCCTGAGAACAGGGAACGAGACAATACGTCTCCCTGCCATGCTGAGGGGCTTGCCTGCCGTACAGTCCCTTCAGACGATAAGGTGATTTGTCATGTTTGCAAGGCGCCCTTATATACTTCCAGGTCGCACGTTAATCATTCACGCTAATGATTCACGGGCTGTCGCCGGTCAATGTGATTGACGTGATTTGATAGTGATTTCAGACACCTGTCACGCCTGAGGCGTTCCCCATAACGTCGATGACGTATTGTCTCGTTCCCTGTTCTCAGGGAACAAAGGTTACAGTCGTAACCTGAGACGGTATGTCGGTTCCAAAACACCTATGTTGAGTTAGTTTAATCAACCTCCTATTGGTAACCCAGAGTTAATGCGCGCGCACGACGAGTACATAAAGACATTTTCAATGGATCGCCGATTTCAGGAGTCACCATGGAAACCAAGGGAGAAAAAAAGCGAGCTACATACGATACTTCGGTGAAACTGAGTTGGAGGTTTTAATGCTTGCTTATGAAGACTAGCCTAAGCCAATTATATAAAAAAATATATATAAAAAAGCAATACTGCTGCATCAGCAAAAGAAAGTTGGCTTGGCAAATAGTAATGGACAGAGTAAATGCTTGAGTTTAGAAAATTATAAATTGGGTATTTTCCCTTTGTGAGTCACAATGAAAGGGGAAAATAGCCTACCCCATTTATAATTTGTGATGCAAAAATTCTTTGGGGGCATGTAGTAAAAATAGACAAGTATTTACTTGTTGGCCTCCATACATTTCTTAATATTACAGTAGTAATGCACATAATTGGCTAGTTATATGTTGGCTTCTAGTTTTATCAGGTGTAATCCTTCTGGAGCCAGAAGAAGTGTGAGCCAAGTCAAAATGAAACACCAAAACATTCTCCAGCAAGGTAATATTTTCTAAACTTACTAAACTTGTTACTGACATTTAATACTAATTTAGTATTAAATGTAATTTAGTTTTCTATGTAGCCAATAGAAAGAAGGGAGCTGAGGAGCTGGCACTGTCCCTTAATAAAGGGCGACCTGTGGTCGATGGGATTCCAGGGGGCAGTTCGTCGCACTCAGCTACCAAGACAAGTGGCTTAGTAAAATGTAGGTGTACCATATTAATACTTATGATTTATTGATGTTTACACTGTTTTTGTCAGTGTTTTAATAAATAAAATCATCAACACTGTCACCATTTTAAAAAGGCATTTTGAATTCATTTTACAGTCATTGATTCACTTGTGCAGTGTGCATGCTGCTTTGACTGCATGCTGTATACTGTAATCGTATTACTAGTACTTAGATGCTCCTAATGTCCTTCTTTATTAGTTGTATTTGCTTAAGAATATACATTGAGAATTGAATATGCATGATTATCATGGTTTAATTATCTTGCAGTAACAGTTGCTGATGGCCACATTGTTGGATCCTCCTGCAACACCACACTCTGCACAGTTGTAAGTGATTATTGTCTTTAGGTTTCTGTTTGCTAGACCAAGCATCCTTCCTTATTTTCACTGTAGGATGATGATGAAGAGACCACTTCTGCTGTGACAGAAACAGAAAATCTGGGGAGGCCCATAGAGGTCATTAGAATGCATAGAATGCATAGAATGCATTCCCCCTTTTTTACACAAGAGAATAAATAAATTGTCATTGTCATTTTACAGAATATGGCAGGAGATTTTAATACAGATGAGGGTCCATCTACCTCCACACAGAATCTTAGCAGTGTAAGAAATGTTCTGCAGTTCTCCTTCCTCATTTAAATATTTGGTTTGTATTACAGACTTTTTCAGTCTTTCTAGTTGCCTGCCAAAAAGCTGTATAAGGTCCACCTTTAAAAGCAAATCAGAAAAAGTGACATGGAGATGGACCTTATACAGCTTCAAATGGAGGAGAAAAGGCTTAACCTAAAAAAGGCCAGACTTGAAATTGAATTGCTGGAGCACCAGCTTAAGGTGGGAAACAGCATGTGAACATTAATCTGTCATTTGTTGTTGAATGAAATCCAAAGCAATAAATACAAATGTCTTTTGTTACAGGAAATAAAGAAACAATGAACAACACTTGACTGTTAACTGGTTTTAATTAAAGTGATTTTGGCAAATCATGTCTTGTACCACCCTGCCATCTCTTTGGTCTACTGGGTTCACTGGGGGTTCCTCTTGGCCACATATTACCTAGTTAGTGGGGACCAGTGATGAGGGTGATTTAATGGTTTAAACACCCAAACATTTAGCATCCAAAAAATCTATTGTCACCTGCACATTGATGCTATGCATTGACTTCCTATATACATAGTCTCCTTCATTGATGGAAGGAGCTTTCATGTGAATGTGGGTTCCATCAATGCACCCAATCACATTTGGGAACCCTGAAATTGAAAGTTATATAATTAGAAACATTTAAAATTATTGTGACTGTATAAAGTAGGGTTAGATTAAGTAGTGCTATATGTAACTAAAATGGTCAGGGGACGCCATGCTCTATCACCTCTCTGAAACAAACTAACCCTGGAACATAACCTGCTCCGGAGCAGGTTAAGTTCAGAGAGTGAGTTGCTATGACTACTAACATACCCTGAAAGTTACCTCCGTTTTTGGAACCGAAAGTTGAGGTTATCCGCTTACTTACTCTTAAACATACCCGGGTATGTCACATAACCTGCTTTCTGGAATACACCCCAGTTTACTGTTGGTCATTTGTTGTGTAGCGTCGCCCCTCGCCGCATCCAATGCAGACAGCATTGCTTTCGTTTGAGGGCGCTTAACACACTCAAGGACTCCCGTAGAAACGGGCCTGCGCTGATCGGATAACATTCCGATCAGAAGCGCGTTTACACTCGTCTTTTCAATGTGTATGTGGACAACAACATCCGGATACAGGTCGCATGTTAATGCCAAGTGTAAACGCAGGGCAATATGGCCAAAATCTCAGTTTAAGTCATTTAATTTCACTCTAACTGTATGTTTATTGGGTGGGTGACCACACATAGCCTAGGCCTACTTTATCATGGACATGGCCATAAAACATCGTCCGGTCGGGATTTCTAAAATGTCTTGGCACACATGAACAGAAACCACATCTTCAACAGATCTGATAACTCACAAAAAATCAGCTTTCTGAAATAACCTGTGGTCCGGGTTTACATGCAAACCAATAACCCTGCAATGCAAGTAAACCACATTTACAAGACTTTATTAATAAATCAGGTTATTTCCCAGTAGTGACGGCAAAACATAATCATTTGCGTATCTGACTGAGAGTATTTCACTTGTTATGTCGGTTGTGATGTAAATATAGCATTAAAAACAGAAGAAGAGTATTGCAACATGTCAGCGGGAAACTTACGGCTCATATATTAATATTACCCTCTCATGCAGATGCAGCATTTTGACTGAACCACTAGCCTACTTTATCTGCTGCACTATTATAATTTTTTGAGGTCAAGAAAGCATCTGAGTTTTAAATATATATTTCCTCCTACCTTACTGCAAAACTTTATCACTCACATTATCACACATGCGCACTTCAATAAGCCAAATAAGCAGGTTAACGCATTTACATGCGGGGCGATATCGGCGTAAGGGTAAAAAATCTAGCTGTGGTGATCGATTTATGCTTAAGCCGTTATATGACCTTACTCCGATAAAGCAAAACGGGTTAACGCGTTTTCATGATCAAGTGCATTGTGGGCTTAATCGGGTTAAGAACGTGCAAGGAATGGTGGGGAAGCGTTTCTCACAAATGATGGAAATTTCCATCAAAGGCGAGGAAAGAGTTAAGAAGACAATAGACAGAAGAGCACATGGCACAAGCCATGTGCTCACAATAAAAACAAAAACAAGAGCACATGGCCAGCCAACACAGTCACAAGCCATGTGCTCAAACAAAACAAGACAGGAACACCTGAGAGATAGCACACGTACGTCTGCAAGATGTCTGTGAAAGATCACTTCATCTGGAAAGCATCTGCTGTTTACTAACATCTAATAGACGTCTTTAAGATGTCAGTTTTACATACATTCTAAATCATAAACATCTTAAAGACAATTTTTAAACGTCTATTTGACATCTGACAGGAAACGTCCTATAGACGTATTGCAGAAGAGCAAACACTCTAAAAAATACGTCTTCCAGATGGATGCCGATGAAAACACCAGCCGCCGAGCCGCGTACGACATCAACACAAGACAACAAGAAAGCAGGTAGGTTTCTTCAAGCATCTTGTAGACGTTGCCTCAGTTTTTTCTGTTTCTTCATGTAATCTCAATGAGATCTCTTTGTGGAGCTCCGGCTGTTGTCGGACTCCTTGTGGATACAAAAATCTCACTCGATTTTTACAATTAATGGAAAAAGGAATGTTTGGAAACATAAACTGATATTTCGACATACTACAGCAAAAGATATAAATAACTGGCTAAAACTTTTTTGGGGGGTGAAAATACTATGGTGCCTAAGACTTTTGCACAGTATATATATATATATATATATATATATATATATATATATACAGTATATATATATATATATATATATATATATATATATATATATATATTATCTGCTTCTCAGCATTTAGCATTCTTTGAGTAACTTATAATGTGGGCTAACTTTTGTGGTTACTAAAGGGTTATGTGTATGCTTTTGAAACGTATGGTATATAAAGAATAGGTATATAAAATACCTATTCTTTATATACCATACGTTTCAAAAGCATTTACACACAATATACCTTGTGACTTCCTTTTGGGGGATCAGGCTACATTGTTCACATTTTTATCCAAAACTTGGTCAGGGTTAACATTACCACCCATGTAAATTTGCAAAGATAAACAAAGAAAGATGAATGCATCTTTGAGAATAAAGCCAATGCTGTTATAATATAACCATAATGCAAAACAGGTGTCAACAGAAAGGTGCCGTTTTCTTGTGTCACATGAGATAAGGAGTTTTACATGGTCGTAATGGAACTGAATATGATCTCTGAGTTTAGAGCAATGTTATTTTCATTAAGGACATTCAACGAGCTTGAGTCATATATATGAATGGACACAGTGACTGTTTGGGTCTGCAAATAAATTTATAAAAAATAACAAGCAACATGATAGGGACAATAGGCACGGATGCAACTGAACTCATTCTATTTGATTTACTGAAAGTTACAATCACATAATCATATTGGGAATGCTATAGGTGTAAGTTGGTATATAGGCTTCTAAATTGTACTGGTCATTAAAATAAAATGGCAAAAGGCATTTTTGGCAGTTAAATCCTATAGAGAAACAAAAGGAAAATATAAGTTTACAAATTGAAGCCTTACAATTGTGCAATTTAAAACAAAACACTTATTAATTTTGTTTTTATCTTGCATAGGCCCTACATGAATATAAAACCTGAAAGCTATCTACAAGAATGTTTGTGATCTTGTAAAAGAATAAACTTTGGCTTCAAACGTCTATAAAACATACTTTATTTTTGCAGAATGTTGCAGCTCTCAATCAAATATACAAATGATATAACCAAAATAAAAGTAGACAGAATATTCAAGTCCCATTTGAAAGGGTGCAAGTGTACAGTAAACAAAAACATTTATTTGGAAATAATCTGCACATTGTAAATATGCAGTGCACCACAAAGAGTGTTTGGACACTTAAAGATTTATGTGAAGTGTAACATGACTAAATTATATTACAAAATAATAATAATAATAATAATAATAATAATAAAGGCATTTTAAAGAAAGACTGCACAAACACATGATTTTTAATTCCCAAAAAGAAGTTTGTGGAGGTTTTAAATAATATATCAATAGACACAAAATTAATACAAAAATATTGTGACACTTTGTGATTGTCCGATGTTAGTGAAACATGTTCATAGTAAATGTAATGAACTGCACAAAGTGGTTGCTCTGATAGGACAGCTCTGTGAACTTAATTAGGAAATTACTTTAAACACCCACTTAAAATCTCCTTGACATCATATAAAAATGTGATTAATCATTTGTTATCTAATGCAATGACAAAATATACATTTAAGTGTGGCTTCCATGTTCTCTAAAATCCCTATTTGAATGAATTAAGAATTTACGTGTTTATAAATATTGTATTTGACGCTTTCTTAGATAGATTCACCTTGCTTTATGTCCATATCTGCAATCCTTCTTACTTTGTGAGGAACTTGGTAAATGGTATCTGCATGTGGCGTTGAGGGCACTTCTCTGATCTTTGCCTCGCTATCTGCTACGTTTCGACCGCAATATTGGACCACAGCATAGTCGACAGTAAGCGAAGAGATGCCTTTAATGACTTTTGACTCTGGTTCGGTGTTGTTAAAGTTAATGGTGGAATAATGTAGAGTTTCTGGATGATTTATTGTGGGGGCTTCAGCTGATAACTCAATTTTATTGACATAAAAAGGCTCTTCAACACTGTCCACTGTATCGGCCTAGTGGATGAACAAAGATGGAGAATCATCAGTAGAGAGCTTTTATGAAAAATAAACTTGGAGAGAGTAACTATATGTAAAAGTGTTTTGGCGTACATGAGTTTGACATGTTTGAGAATGAATAGAATGTGTGTTTGATATACTGTAACATACCACATCAGTCTGAATGAGTCCAGGTTTATCTCCCCTTTGAGTCCTGCAGATCCATCTACAGAAATAATCCATAATTAAAAACATACGGTATAACTGCTTGCATCACATTCATTAGACATTTTTATTGCTAGGGGGTTGCTCTTTCATAGCTCAGGAGACTTAAAGGGATAGGTCAACCAAAAATGACTGAATTCAGTCAATTTGGAACGACTGAATTCAGTCGTTCTGGTTTGGAACGACTGAATTTTCATTTTTGGGTGAACTATCCCTTTAAATGAAATATAGGGCCCTACTTTAACGATCTGAAATGCAAGTATCAAACAAGAAACGCAAGTCAATTTGTGGGCGGATCTCGACGCAAATCTAAAATGGGTTTGTCTGAAGTAGCTACATTACTCAGAGTCATAGGTGTGGTTTGGGCGTAACGTGCAATAAACCAATCAGAGCGTCATCTCACATTCCCTTTAAAAGCAGGCGCGTTTGTTCCATGGCGGATTGCTATTATAATGGCGGATTTGCCAGACGCACGCCAGGAGCGGTTCACAGCCGAGGACAGACGTTCTCGTCAGGGTCGTAAAAGACAGAGAAGTGTCATTGTATGTCAAATTAGCTTTGCTTAAACAGGCGTATAATAATTTGGGTAAATGTGTAAGCTAGATTTATGCCTATTTTTTCACATCTTCATGGACACCACAATGATTTCCCTCGTGTGGTAATATTTTTCCTTGTAATTATGTATGGTTTGCAAAAAATGGGAACTGCTGCGTCTGTGTAGCCTAGATGAGAGAAGCAAAGTGTATGCGCGTTGTTCACACGCTACAATATGGCCAAGCATGCGCCCTGAATAAAGCGCCACTGACTTTAGACTAGGTTTTTCCTGGTCAGTGGCGGAATCGTTTTCTGAAACTGCAAAATAGCACCAGGGAATGTTTGCGCCGGAACACGGCTCCTCTTTTCGCTGAACCGCCCCCGGGAGTGCAAGTTCATTCCCTAATTTACCGACGTGCGTCTGTGGAGGGAAAAGTCCACTGTCCGTCGAGTGCAAAATAGGAATGATACATGCGTCGGTGTACAAAATAATTTGCGCTGGGTGCAAGATAGGGCCCATAATGTTACGTAGAACTCCATTAAGTATCAAATATGGCTCAGATGTTCCTCTTAAAATTCTGTAGATGAAATAAAATTAGAAACACAAGAGGGTTTTTTTTCTGGGAAATCTCACCCCCTCTTGTGTTTCTAATTTTATTTCATCTACAGAATTTTAAGAGGAACATCTGAGCCATATTTGACACTAAATGGAGTGATTAGAAAAGCATGAGTCTCAAGCAATAGTCTCTATTTGCTCTATATGTCACTCATTGCTGTCTAAGAGAAACAATTGTGATCTTAAAGAGATCACATTTGTGTGTTTTTTCCTTCGGGGAAAGATCATACTATAGTGTTTACATCAGGCATCGCACAGTTTACTTACTTGTACAGCAGTGTAGTGACCCATAAGATGGCCATAAATGTAGCCCCAGGTACGAATCCAACCAGGACGGCGTAAACGTTAAACACTATTAAAGTGACAGTTCATGGAAACTTTCTTTATTCCAAAGAGCAACTATATTGATATCAAGCAAATATTAAACACAATGTATCTGAATAATTCCATTCATTAAAAAACGCAGCAGGCTATAGCTGATTCATTGCCATATCAATTGAAAATAGATTGAAATAGATTAAAGTTGAAATTTACTTGAAGCCTCTTGAGAGAAGAGATTCAGTTGAAAAAAATTTCTTGCAGTGCCATGAGTGTTGCTGCCGACACACTGCAGAGTGTATGAGTGTGAGAGTGACTGATGTAGAGTGATGGAGCTCCTCAAGCCTGTGCTGTTCAATCGCTCTTCACTGATGAACGTGTTTGAAGAGTTACTGACAGGACGTCCAGACAGATACCACTCCAGTTCAGGAGAGGGATTCCCATCACCCTCACAGAAACACACAGTTACACTGTCACAGCTCGAGGAAGTGGAGATTTGAGGAGCATCTAATAGAGAGAAAGATCAAGAAAAGTCTGAGCAGGACAACTGGGACCTTTTCTTAGTAACTTTTCTATTGTAGTTCACATACAATCACTGAAGATGGCTTGCAGTTCACATTCAGACACTAGCTGAGATTTGTTTTTGTTTGTATTTGTTCCTGGCTCTATAGTAGATTGAACTTGACACTGGAGTACTAATAAAGGTTTTATTTATTAATTTGAGATGTTTTAGATTATGATATTGCTATTTACCTGTTCAAAGATGGTATTTATTTGCTTTTGAATTAATGCCATATATGCTTGCATCATGAAATGCTATGTTGTGCAAATGGCAACTCAGAATGATGTTGCATTTTGTGTCATTGAAACAAGATGAGATGAGAAGAAAATTGTGAAAGTTGTAGTGCATGAACTGTTTGTAACCAACCACAAAAGGTTAATGAGAAGACAAACAGGGGTGAAGAGAGCATGCTGCACCCTCAAGCGGAGGTGAGCCAGATGAACACTTCAGTGAAGAAGAGGAAGAGTGCTAGAAGACAACAGCGTAAGAGACAGAGGAAGGACATCCAGAGGATTGAGACTGAGTCACAGAGACTGATACAACAGCAGGAAGAATGGATCATATAGGACATTGATTAATTGATGAAAAATATGGAAGTGGAATTTCCCAAGGAGGAGTAAAAGGCCTCCTCAGATGCTGCCTGCATTAAGCGTGAAGTATGCCTGATACCCTAACAAGGGGCACTTATTGTACCAGCATCTCCAATATTTCTGGTTAAAGGCTAGATTATAGAGCTTTTTAGCTTAAACTGATTTAATGATTTAAGTATTATTTTATTTTGCATTTAACTGCTTTGTATTGTAACCAATAAAATAAGCATTTTTATTGTTACGATTGCCTCGTGTGAGACTTTACTTATAACTACGAACTGAGCCTCAAAAAAAGAACAACCATAAGGGAGTCTTACGTCATTCCTGAAGGACTTCAACCTGCTGGCGGGTGAGTTCTTTATGGATTAGGCTAAATTTGACTAACCTTGCCCTACCTGAATAATCATAGGGTTAAAGGTGTAAGATAAAAGGTCACACCGACTAGCATAGAATATGCTTCAACTAAAGTGCTAATGAATGTAAAGCAAATCAGCAAGTTAAACAGACATAAAAACAGTAATTCCAAACTCATTTGATTTTCCCCCATGTAACAGAAAAAGAAGCAGAATGTCCAGGCTGCACCTTTCCAAATAAAAGTGAATAGGAACTGGGGCTGACAAGCTCCAATAAGGGAAAAAATAAGGACTCGTACACTATTTATAATCGTATAACTTTGCGTTATTCATTGACTTCTGGATAAGTGCAAATAAATAACGATTCAAGGACATTAAAAAATTGTAACAAACAAAGAAGCAAACACCTCAAATGGGACCTATGTCTAATGTTAATTTTTTTGTCTTTTTTAACTTGACAGCCCCAGTTCACTGCTGTTGCATGAAAAAAAAAAAAACACAGCCAGGGCATTCTGCTAAATAACTTTTTTATGTTCCATAGAAAACATAGTTAATGATGGAATACATTTGTATTATTGGTAGAAAGTTTCTCTCTATTCCTTTATTACTCACACTGAATGTCCAGCATCACTGATGACTCTTGGTAGCCGTGTTTGTTCTGAGCTTTACAGTGGTACCAGCCTCTCTGTGTCAGGTCGGTCCTGTTGAAGGTGAGAGTGTATCCAGTCTGCAGCTGCTTCAACTCTCTTCCACTCTGTCTGGACCAGGTGTAGTTCAGCAATGCTGGATTTGCATCACTACTGCAGGTCAGAGTCACAGAACTGCCTTCCAACACCGAGCCAGACGGAAGCACAGAAACTGATGTGTTTTTAGGGGAATCTGGGAAACAAATACATTGCCACACGATACAATTTACAATAATATGATTACCAAGTCAAAACTGATACAAAGCATCACTTACACTGAACATGTAGTGTGATGTTGTCCTGTGCTGTTTTGTTCTTGTCCTGTAGCTGGTAGGTTATAGTGCAGGTGAAAGTGACTCTGTGGTGACGGTGAGTAGCAGTGAAGTTCAGATCAGAGACGAGGAGCTCCTGTTGTCCGCCGCTCTCACTGAGGGGGATTCTGGGAGTGAAGCTCCATGTGAGAGTTGGTGGAGGAGAGGAGCAGAGAGTCTCAGCAGAGCAGCGCAGACTCACAGAGCTCCCCTCCAACACCTCCTCCTGATCCTGATCCTTATACAGCTTCACTGTGGGTTTGGAGGGAGACTCTGACATACACACAAATATAAGAAAAATACAATGATAGCATGACAAAAACTTTTTAAAAATCATTTAACACATTAATTTATAAATAAGGGCTCAATCACTCACCGATGACAGTTACAGTGGAGGTGTTTTCTCTGTAGGTGTATTTCAGATCGCCACTCTCAATCCTAAAGTAATATTTACCATTATGATTTGAACTAACATCATAAAGGATAGTGGTGCAGTTCTTCTTGTGTAGTTTTCAAATTATTTTCCCTTTAAAGTGAGGGTTGGTATCTCTAGAGTTAAACACTTGATGGTTATTCACATCATGTCCATCTTTGAGCCAAAATCCTGTAGCATCAGTCTCAGTGAGCTCTTTGTCATGCATTTCCGCAATCACAAATGTACAGTTTATGATCACACAGGATCCACTGAGAGCTTTAATCTTCACTGGCAAACTGACACCATAATCTCTACAGCAAACACCTAATAACACAAAACAAACTGTTAAGGCACACAAAGAAATGTACAAGCACATTTATAGCCATAAACACAAACCCCTTATTGACTAGGCTTTTTTCAGTTTAAAAATAAACCTCATTTACTTTTCAGTTAAAATGAAAAATGTAATAATAGAGCATTAAAAGCAGAGGAGAAAATCAATAAACAGCCTGTGTGAATTGATAAATGTTTTAGTACTGACTGAATCAACTTAAAAATGGTAACGTGGCAAAAACTCAGAATACTTGATTTAAGATAAAATCCAAAATATTTGATAGGCAAATTTCTATATCTTTACATTTACACATTTAGACTAGTGCTTCAGTATACAGCTTGTATTAAAATATTTCTAATAGAATGTCTAACAAAGGTAATCAGATACTTTGTGACTTGTTACATGTAACACTGCTAAAAGACCTCTATTAATACTGTGAAACTGTACTAAAGTTAGAGTACAGATAATGTCAATTTTTTTTGCTCAATTATAAGTCTAAGTTTCTAGCCAAAATAGTGAAAGTAAAAAAAAGTATACATACTTATTTGTACTTAAATATTAAAAAGTAAAACAAAAAATGTTTCTTCGATTTTTTAACGGACTTTTGAAAATAAATAGGACTAGAGATTTGATCAATTTAGTATTTTTGATGCAAAAACTTTGTAAAGAAAACACTACTACTTGCACTAAAATAAAATGAATTGGCTGTTTTAAAGAGTTCAGCTTATGTGACCATGATTGATTAGCTTGTTAGTCACGTTAAGATAAAGAAAAATATTTTTTCTATTTTTAAATCATTGAGTCATAACGACTGACATAATGTACTTTGTACTTTTAAGTCTACATGAAATTGTAATGATGAGTATTATGTTTTTCTTTAATCATACAAGTTTTCGGTTTTAACATATAGTATACATAATATAAATAATTATATAATAGCCTACAGTAGTGAAGTATTACTTTAATACTTTGCAACTCTGCAATTAAATCATTTAGACCTATTCACAACAGACTAAAATACACTGATGATATAAAACACACATTCATGATAAATCTTTTAGCTGTTAACTTCATCTAACAAATGTCTCATTAAAGACATTCGTGAAGGTGAAGAAGAGATACACAGACTTTCTCATCAACACTCATCTTGCCTTTAAAAAAAAGGTTAAAGTGGAGGCCAAACATACAGATAAACATCACAAAAATGATACATCACAGTAATTATATAAACATACATTCAAAATTGCCATTCTGGAATGATATTATGATAAACCAAAATTCTTCTGCATAATTTCTTAATCATCTGAAGTGAGCAAACCATCTGTTTTATGCAGTAAGTTCTAAATGCGGTTAAACCTGGAATCTTAAATAGGCATTTGGATTGGTCACACATACTATGCGAGAAAGCTGAAACAGTGTAAAGTTATGTTTTCTCAAGAAAGAAAAAAACATTTGTTTTGAAAGTGACTCAGGTCTGTATTTGTTTACATGTATGAAACATTTTGGACTTTGAGATACTGTCTATTAAGTCCATTTAGTGATCTGGTCTGATTAATATAAATTATAGAGAGAATGAAAACACAAGAATGAAACAAGTCCAAATTAATTCATTACTTGCTGAACTGTATTGCTGCTTAATGCTTATAAACTCCATAACAGCTTTATCTTGTAGGGTAGACTGGGTACAGTTGAGACACTTTTTGCGTTTTGATTTTTCACACAAAAATAGATGCTGAAAAGACGTGAATTTCCACATGATATGCCACATGACATTTCATGAGCTTGTAGACTAAGATATTATCAATCAATATTACTCATAAGTAGTTTATATTTTCCACAATTAGCTCATAAAAATAAGGTGCTTTTTGTCTCAACTTTGTCTCAACTGTACCCATATGTGGTACAGTTGAGACAGTACCATGGTACAGTTGAGACACCCATTTTTAATGATGTAAAGGTAACTAATCGTTCATTGAAAATATAATAAATAAAGACAAATAAAAAAAATAACAATTGGGCAACATGTTTGTTTATTCATCCATTCAAATTCATTAATGTTATTTAAATTAGCACTGGTTAAATTTTATAAAACAGAAACAATATATTTTATATATTCATTAATAATACACAGTTTAATTATCACAAATACCAAATTTTTATTTCATTTGCAGCTTATGCTGGCTAATTATGACATTTAACCTGTTATCATAACACTGAACAACTAAACAGTGTGTTTCCTAATAGAACTCTATCGCGGGTACAGTTAAGACAGTGTGTCTCAACTGTACCCTGATGGCCACCTCGCGCATTTCTCTAGATTTTGCAATGACCATGCCTGAAACAATCCCATGAACTATGCCCGTTTTTAGGGCACACTGCACAGAATAACGTTTGTGATTATACCAGTTACGTTTAACAGTCACATAAGGATAATAAGCTATTCATTGTGGAGTGTGCATGGTGAAGTGAACGTCTTACCTTAAAAAAAAAACTTTTGCCGATATCTTCGGAGCGGAGATGCGTCCATTGATCAAATTTCCCACGATCAAAGAGGACACTAATACGCATATGTGCACAGCAAAAATCACAACTTGTGCTGGCTGCGCACGCAAGTTATTTAAGGTGTCTCAACTGTACCTATGTCTCAACTGTACCCAGTCTACCCTACATACACACAATAATAAAATAATCTAAAACACAATGAGCACACCTGAAAATATTAAAACTAAATATTATGTCCTATAGGCTACTGGGATATTAAAATACTTACCAGAAAAGGCAGATAAAAGTTGGAGAAATCCACCGAATATTGATTTAAAGAGTACAAGTGCTCTGCTGAAACTGACTGTAGACTGAAGGAGATAACGTTATTATAATTGGTGTTTATTGGTGGGTACAGCCACTGCTGAGTATAATGGAAATATGTAATAACTAAGTCAAATATAATTTTCTTCACACAGTATACTGTGTGAAGAAAATTATATTTGACTTAGTTATTACATATTTCCATTATACTCAGCAGTGGCTGTACCCACCAATAAACAACTTGTCATGCAAAGTATTATTACGCACAATGAGCAACACACATCTTCAAACAAATTTGAATTCCCTGGTTAGTCTTTTCATGACACTGACAAACAGCATGAGTTGTGTAGCGAGTCCAAAGTTGAAGGGGTTTTCTGATTATGGACAGCGAATGAATTACTCCTTTATAGCTCAATAATTTAACATTCAAATGTATTTTTATTTTTAGTAGGCTACTAAGACTGAAATGAACGTGTCATTCACGTCTCCATGATGCCACTCTGCATCAGGACCGTTTCATTTGAGCTCACAGGGCGGAATTTCACTGACGGACGGATGTGAGTAACGGCGTATTATGTCCCTTGCGCTTTTATTTTTCTTCTGTCGGGCCGTTTGCCAATTCGTCTGTTTCCCTTTTACATGTAATCCCTTTGTCATTTGAGTTTGTTTATTTTTTATCAATTCAATTATATACCATCATTTTATATGCGAGTGGTTTTATTGAGTGCGCATTTTCCAACGATGGAAAACTAGCTGGCGATGCTAGCAAGCTAAAGCTAGCTGCGTTTCTGTGACACACAAGGTGATAAAATAATAACTATTATTGTTTACGTAATTATCATCAATTAAATAAACCTCGACAGCCTTGTATTAAGTAATTTCTTTTGTAACGGTAATGACATTGTCTTTTCAGAAAGACATGTCTAGTGTATTGTCAACCTATGTTTAACTAGGCTAACGTTCGTTGTTTGTGTACGTTAACCTTACTCTGTTGACAGGTTTATTTACATGTAATACTGTTTTTTTACAGTATATACTGACCATGAAATGCATTAATGTTTCATAAGGAGTAGCATAAGTTAAAATGTTAGCTATTGTTATGTGTGTATTTTTATAATTGTATATATACCCTATTCTTATTATATACTTTCGTTATACTTATTTACTATATTTTATGTCTCTCTCTCTATGTATAACGTTAATTTATTCATACCTCTCTTGAAGTTGAAAACATGAGGCCATATAACAAGGGTAGTCTGCTCCTGCATAGTTCAGTTTCGACTCTACTCCAACACACCTGCCTGTAATTTTCAATTAATCGATTAGGATGTTTATGTGTCTTTGACCAGGCCCAGGGTTGGAGCTAAACTCTGCAGGACAGTGAGCAGGAGCAGGGTTTGCTTCTCTTGCCATAAATCCATATATTTCAAGTGCCTATTTTATTTTTTACAGTCTCTGCGCTGCATGACCAGGATGAGGATGTTCTCAGTTTCACACAAGACGGCCTTTGTGGTCGATCACTGCCCGTACATGGCAGAGTCCAGCCGACAGCTGATTGAATGTGACATGCTGACCAAAAGCCGTTCACAGGGCGTGATTCCTCTGGCTCCAGTCTCCAAATCTCTCTGGACGTGTGCAATTGAGTGCTCCATGGAGTACTGTCGAATCCTGTACGACATTTATCCCACCAAGAAACTGGTGAGTGAATGGAAACTGGCGCTGTTTATAGGTATCGTCGCTATGAATGAACTGTTTTGTATGGAAAACTCTTCAAAAATGCTCCTTTTATGTTCTATGGTGGAAAAAAAGTAGGATGTAAATTAGGAATTAATTGCGGTTAAGTAAATAATGACAGAATTACATTTCTGTTTCAACTATTCATTTAATGTCTCTCAGGTGAACTACATTGTGAGCGATTCTGAGGTTCACATCTTGAACAGCTGGAAGCAGCAAGATCAGAGCACGCAGGAGGTAAAACGCACATCTGTCACTCTGCATGTCCATATCAAGCACCTTTCTTGTACCAGAGTAATCTGAGCATTGTGTTGAATTAGTGTTAAAGGGATACTCCACTTTTTTTTGGAAATAGGCTCATTTTACAACTCCCCCAGAGTTAAACTGTTGAGTTTTACCATTTTTGAATCCATTCAGCCGATCTCCGGTTCTGGCGGTACCACTTTTAGCATAGCTTAGCATACATCATTGAAGTGGACAAGACCATTAGCATTTCTAAAAAGAAAATGA